CCCTTTTTCTTTCTCCCCCCGCGCCCCCAACCACGGGGGGGGGGCGGGGGTGGGGGAGAGAGAGGCCCCCCCTGCCAGCAGAAAAGCGATCCCCTCTCCCTCTTGAACCTGGCCGTCTCTGATTCTGCAGCTGCTGCAGAAAATATATATTAATCACCCCAATTAATTGCAGTGAGCGAGGAAGTGGCAGGTTCCTCCCCATCGATTTCTTACGTAGCCTCTGCTGGGAAATTGGGTCCCTCCTTCTGCGAACTTTGCAATCCGGACCCAAGCCCCCTCAATCTGTGGGAGAGGGTGCGTGGGTAGGGCACGGGGCTTTTGACCCACCCAGACCCATTCTCCACAGCCCCCGGCTTCCCATGGCGGACGCGTTGGGCCGCAAAGCAATTAGCAAATGGTCTTGGAGAGGCCAGGGCTGGCAAAGTGCCTCTTTTTATTGGCGTGAGGTGCCAAGTGGGGCCGGCTGTTCCGCGAACGGTTTTGATCAGCGCGCACCGAGCCCCTTGTTTGCTCCCAGGTTGGAGGTGGCGCCGAGCAACCGGGGTTATCGCCCTGGAAAAAGCGCTCCAGAGGCAGGGTTCCAACACACATGCACGTGCACACACTCCCCCCACACGCACACCATCAGCTGCGGGTGCCAGACCAGCCACAGCTCTGCACGCAGGAGTCATCCTGCCAGCTGGGACGCTCCGGGCAGAGAGGAAAAGCAGGGCTGGGTTCAAGGGTTTACAGGCCTTTGGGGAAGAGTGCCTCTGAGCATAGCGATGCTGGGCAGCCTCAACCAGTGTGCTTCAGCTCAGGCTTAAAAACGCCTTGATTTCCCCCACTCAAAGCACTCTGCATATGCTCAGAGGGAGCTGAAGCTCTAGTTAGGCCCTCTTCCTCCTAGGGATTAGCCCTGTGTCTTTCAGACTTGGCAACTTGGAGATGGGTGGACTTCAACTCCCAGAATTCCCCAGCCAGCAAGGGTTAGGATTGGCTGGGGAATTCTGGGAGTTGAAGTCCACCCATCTCCAAGTTGCCAAGTCTGAAAGACACTCAGCCAGTGGAAAAGCACCATCAGCCTCGCTTTGGCATAGAAGAAACTGTCCTGTGCTGCATGGGGAAGTGTGCAGCGATGGGCCTTGTGGCTCACAAGCGTGCCCTCCCCCTTACTCATTCACCCCTCCGCTGCCAGCCTTCCAGGGCTCCTCCTGAACCTGCCAGATGAGCCCCAGGGGCCTGGGGCGATGTGGGCTGGAGCATCCCGGCTGCCATTTTCGATCCCCGCCTTGTCCGCAGGCAGAAGTGCGTGAGAAATGGATAAGTCTGCGCTGTGGGGCCAGGGCCCTGGAGGATGGGGCGGGGAAGGGCGAGGGAGGGGCAGGGCTGGGCACAGGCCGGCAGGCAAGCAACTGTCCTTCCCTTCTCTGCGTTGGGGGGAACTAAGCACAAGTCCATGCCCGAGTTCATCTCTAACTTGGCTGCCCCCGTCCCATTCATGTCCCATCTGCATGAAGTTTCAGTGGGGAAAACTCGGGGGGGGTGGGGGGGAGGCAGAAACAGCAGGCAAGCCCACCCCAACATCAGGACTTCGGGTTCAGTCATGGGCACCGCTAACCAACCAGGGCGGGGGGTCCAAAGAGCACGGGCTGGGACGCGGCGATCAACGCTCTGCCTGGTTTTTAAGGGGTTTTTGACTTTTTGGGCCATTCCCTGAGGACGTCCCTAACCGCCAACACAGGGAGAAGCTCACAAAGGTTTTTATGTCCGGCCCGAGGGAGTCGAGGAGGAGGAGGGCGATGACGATGGTTATGATTACTGATCAGATGCGCCCAATTCCAGAACGACTCGGTCTGGGCATGCCCACCCTATGTCGGGCATCAAGAACGGGATGCCACTTCCGCCTCGGCTGGGTTTTCTCCGGGCCTTGCACTGGTAAGGCCCTGGCACCTTTGTGGGGCTTAATGCCGCTGCCTTTCCTGCTCGGGTGGAGAACTGGGGGGGTCTCTCTTTGCAGGCCTGCCCTGAGAGCTGCCTCTTCTCCCACCCCCCACCCCGTGCAAATTTCCCCCAAAGCGCTGCTTCTCCCACTCTGCACACAGAGAGCCCTGGGACGCTGGGCTCCCTGGTACAACGAGGATGTGCCCCTCCCTGCCCGTGGCTTCCACTTGCACACTGCGCCTGGCCGGGGGCTTCACCACGCAGCGCTGCTCCTGCGGCGGGAGCAGGCAGCCATTCGTCCTGTCCTGCTGCACTGACTGATGGGCCGGCTGACCCCTTCCTGCCGCCTGCGGGTGCAGCAGGAGGAGGAGATGATTTAAGGGGGGGCGGAGGGCCCTCAAAGGGGGCGCAGAAGCATCTTAAAGAGAAGCTGCAATTCTGTCCCACCCAGCAGCCCCCCCCGTTTTCTGCTGGATGCAACGCTTGTATTGAGAATAGACTAGCAATTCAGAGGTGCTCTGCACATGCACAGAGAACCGCTTTCGCGGGAGCCAAGGTAGATCCTGTTCCAAATTAAATCTGCTGAAGGTAGGTGTATGGCGTGCCCTAAAGTTGCACCCTTGTTGGCCCATGGAGTGGCTTGGCATTGTCTTAAGGGGGGTAAACTGAGGCACAGAGAAAGACAGAGGGGTGCTGAGCTCAGAACAGAAACAGGGCAAAGTCATGTCACAGGGTGTGGTCAAAAAAGTCAAGATGGTGGCCATGATGGTGTGATGGAAGCTCCACCCAGCTTTAATGTGGTTGCACATTAAGACTGTGTGGAGCTTTGATCACACCATCGCGGCCACCATCTTGATTTTTTCGACCACATGTTGCAGTACATGTAAGAGGAAGTCTCCCTCATTTCAGGATGTTTTTTTCTCACCTCCCATTCTAGCCTTCAGCCACGGGATTTCCTAGTGGTCTCCCATCCGAGCAGTAACCGGATCCATCGTTTCTGAGCTTTTTAAGATCTGCGAAAGCCAGCCAGGCGCCGCCATCTGCTGCGGATGCAACTGAGACCCCCCTTCCGCCCCATCGAAATCGACCCCCAAATCAGGGCCTTTGTCCTGGAAGGCCTGAAAAGCTCCCCTCAACTCTCCTTCGAGGAGCCCCCGTTCCGATCGCAATTGGGCAATACAGGCTGTCTCCTCCAGGGGGCGCTGTTTGCCACTCAGGACTGACCCATCGCAGGCAGGGCATTCCTGGGCCTTTCTCCTCCCCACCCAACTTTCCCCCCACTGGGCCTGTGCTGGAATCCCCCTTAAGAGTAGTTTTCCAGGACCCCCCTCTTAAATCCACCATGACGCATTGATTCCTGTGGTGTTTGGAACTTCCTCCCACTGGAACCCGGCTCGCCCCCTCCCTTTCCTCCCAACTTTTGGGTGTCCCCAGTGCCCCCCCCGGCCACACAGACACCCCCCTTAAGCCTTCCCTTGCCTGTGGGGGCGGGTCACCAGATCCATCCAGGGTGGATTTCTATTCTCAGAGGTCATTTATCTGTGTTACGATGTGCCTGCTTAATTCCCAGTTTGCTGCAAAAATGTTCTCAACCTGTGCGGATCTCTCTTCTCCGGGGGGGGGGGCAGTGCCCCCGCCCCGCATGCTCCCGAAAAAGAGGAGCTCTTTTTGGCAGGGCGGGGGCGGCCCCCCCGCCCCCCATGCTCCCGAAAAAGAGGAGCTCTTTTTGGCAGGGCGGGGGCGGCCCCCCACCCATGCTCCCGAAAAAGAGGAGCT